GTCTATATGTTTGAAGTTTTTCATACTAGAAGGTTTAAAAAATAAATGCAGATTCTATACATTAAAATTCATACTAAAGACATAAAAAATTAAAACCACATAATATTACTATATAGAGACACTCACTGCTTGCATTTTAGTACCTGTATTTTCAGATTTTTTAATGTGTATGTACATAAACATTCACTTTTACTAAAATGGGATCTTATTATAAAAGAAGTTTTATAATCTACTTTTTAAAATTAAACATAGATATTATATCACACACACCTCTCCAGAACATACACATCTTTGGTAGTGAATATCTCTGTGCCCATGAGACCACAAATGACCCTCTTCACTGTCCCCTCACCCTCTGAAATAAGCTCAGGTATTTCAGTTTGCACTTTGTGACCATGTCCTCCAGGCCTCAGTTGATTGAATCAAATTCAGTCTGGGCAAGCAGATTCTCTTTGTTGGGAATTCGGAAATGGAACTGGTCTCTTGAAAGGAAAAGTGAAATAGGAGCTACAGAGTAACAATCTGCTTTCCATAAGATTGAGAACCAGAGAAAGTCTATACCGAGTGAATAAAAGCAGATACATACAGAAGCTGCCTTGGACCTAAAAAGCTTGTCAGCACCGAGTTCCCAGTCCCCATGAAACCCATGAGCACTCTTGCCCTATGTACTCTGAGATACTCCCATATGCTTCCAATATAACCTGTAAATTGTTTAAGTTAACCACAGTAGAGTTCTAGTTTTAACTATGAACCCTCAGTGCCCAAGTTTAAATATAATTTCTTAATACATCCAGTGGTTTGCAAAACCTTCATGTGCATGTCCTTTTAACTCAGATTTTTTTTTCTTATTATCTGAAACAAGCAAAGTTATCGCCTCCTCAAACTTGAGTCTCTTACTCCTTAAAGATAGTGGGAATTTTGAACAGTTGCCTGAACTGTTTTCTTCTTCATCGATTCGTAAAAAAGATACCTGCTAGTGCAGGCAGTGCTAAGTGATGGGGATACAATGGTGAACAAACTAGTCAGGGTGCTTTTTAGTCACAGAATGTACAATCTACCAAGAAATTTAGTTAATTATCAAGCAAGCAAATAAGCTAGATAATCCCGATTGTGTTAAGGGGCAGAAAAAGAATACAGGGTGATCTGATAGGGAGTGATAAGCATACACATGTGGGAGGGCTCTCCGAGGGCATGAAATTGGAGCTGGGAGGTGAAGGAGCCATCTGTGTGGAGAGCTGGAGGAAAAAGCACCCTAGGCAGGGGAAACATGTAAACTGATGACCCGGAGGCAGGAAGAAAGACTGGTACATTCAAGTAACAGAAAGGAGTTGTATGCAGGTTAGGCTATTAAAGTCTGAGGGAGACTGACCAGTACTGAGACAATCTGTGATACATTTCTACATTTAAGTCATGAATTACGGGTGTGAATGGATTTCAAACTAAATGCAGACGTAACTGTGATTCTGCATGAAGTGTAATCACAAAGGTCAGGGTCATCTGTATTACTCTGTGCTTAATTAGTTTTGTCCTAAGAGTACTCTATTGTAATCTGTTATACTTTTTAAATACTGGACTTTATTTAATGAGTTCAGGAGAATACACCGTAATGGCATTTAGTTTTGAATAGCTTATTTTATGTGTACCCTATTATTCCCAAGAAACGTAATTTATGTCCCTAGTCTACCCTCATTAGGACCTAAATTGTGACCAATGCTCTCTACATATGAGGCATACCAAATTCCTACTAGCGATGCATATTTCAAAAAAAATTGTGAATTTGGTATTGATATTCTATTATTCTTATCCAAAACATCAAGTGTGGTATCTCCAGTATTCAGTAATGACTCCTTGATGATCATTTCTGATTATATCACCTTGGTGTGAGTTTGTCATCCTTGGGAACTAGTAAAACCAGTGCCCAGTATAAAGGTTAATACAGAGAATGCCTCAAGAAATACTAAATGAATAGACAGAATGCTAACAATTTCTAAAAGTAGAATCACTTACTTAAATGATTCTTCCAAATTGGTATTTTCCCATTTAAATTTTTTAAATTATTATTATTTTCATTTGTTTAGGAGGGAGATAATTAGGTTTGTTTATTTATTTATTTATCTTTTTAATGGAGGTACTGGGGGTTGAACTCAGGACCTCATGCATGCTAAGTGCACCCTCTACCACGGAGTTATACCCTCCTCCCGTATTTTCCCATTTTAGAGAAAGTCGTATGATTTTTATTCTTCATTTTGTTACTGTGGTGTATTACATTGATTGATTTGTGGTTGTTGAGCCATCCTTGCATCTCTGGGTAAATTTCAGTTGATTTTGGTATATGATTTTTTTATGTATTTAAAAATTTTGTTTGCTAATATTTAATTAAGAAATTTTGCATTTATGTTCATTGGTGATATTAGCTTGATTTTTTTCTGTGCTCCCCACCCCCTTTTTTGTAGTATCTTTGCCTTGTTTTGGTGTCAGGGTAAAGCTGACCTTGTGGAATGAATTTGGAATCTTTCTTTCCTCTTCAATTTTCTGTAATAGTTTGAGAAGAATAGGTATTAACTCATCTTTAATGTTTGGTACAATTCACTTGTGAAGCTATCTGGTCTTGAATTTTTGTTTCTTGGGATTCTTTAAACTGTTCATTTGATTTCATTATTAGTTATTGGTCTATTCAGATTTTCTATTTCTACCTAATTCAGTTTTGCAAGATTGTATGTTTCTAGAAATTTATTCTTTTCTTCTAGGTTTTCCAATTTGTTGGTATGTACTTAATCTCTTAAGATCATTTGTATTCCTGTGGTATCAGTTGTAACTTCTCCTCTTTAACTTCTTAATTATTTGGGCAAATACTCTTTTTTTGATGATGAGCCTGGTTAAAGGTTTGTCAATTTCATTGATCTTTTTATAGAACCAGCTCTTAGTTTCATTGATCTTTTCTATTGTCATTTTAGTCTCTATTTCATT